TCTCTACTTCTGTTTCCTGTTTTAACCAATGCAATGCTTCCTTGTCGTTTCTAGCCTGCTCCTTCTGATGGTAACACTGCATAGCCACTCTATTGGAGATCCTTGTAGGATGTTAGTGATTGGCATCCTCGATATCCAGGGGTTACGCTCACTTTCTCACCTTCGCACCCTTGGAAGAAGTCATAGCAAAATTGAAGGCTCAATGTGCAGCACCTTTAGGTTGAGACGAGAAGACTAGTTTGATCCTCTTATGTACATCAAAAGAATCTCGAGTCTCGCGGTCGCGTAACTGTACAACTTACTGGGGGTGCATTTGTCCCTTTTACTTTCTTTAGATAATTTGTTTGCGAAATGATAAGCCAGTTTAACCGTGCTGTCATCCAGGTATTGTTTCTCAGTTTTACTTCTCATCTCCGTTGTCTTCGAACATTTCCACATGTATTAAGTACTGATAGTCGTAAATGGCAGCGCAATTCACTTTGGGATGGGTTTTTTTTATACTCGCAGCGATTTAGTATTCATATACACGCCATCCGACATACTTTTATAGTTTCAGTTTTCGTTCCGTAGATGTCAGGACGACTGATGTTTACTTCCGTAGTTTTTGACAAACTGAGGTAAAAAGATACAACCGACTTGAGAAATACGCGTCACTGAAATGTTTAACAAAGGTTAGTATAAAGGGGAAAATATTTTAAAGATATGTGCTAAATTTTGAACTTATATTTATATAATCAATACTAGTTCAGGAATAGTTGGTAGTTTCCACCTAGATGGCGAGTTGTGTCTCTTTACACGTTTAGAGTGACTTCCTCTGAGTTTAAAGTTTGGCAGACATTTTCTGCATAGATTATCATATCTTTTGAAAAAATTATGATATTGCAATTATGTAAAGTGATATATGATGTAGAATATTTACTCCACATACTCAAATAAAGTGTTTACATTATAATCTTCAACTTCAGGGTTTTTTAAGAATCTAAATTTTAAATTTTTGTTTAAAAATTTTGATTCTCTCAATAAATACACATTCAAATTGTGCCTAAACCACTATTCAGTCTCCATAACTTTCCCAGTGGCGTTGATTTACGCTTCCACGTGTAAAATCAAGAAACACTTATAACAGCACGAATATCTTTGATATGATGTCACTATGAGATGACCTCATGCTTTCGTTGCGAAAGTTTTAAAACAAAATTGGCTTCTGCATAAACTAAAATGAAGACAATTATAAAACATCGCTTAAGAGCGTGTGATATGATGATTTGAGGAACTATTAATTTTAAAACTGGCTCCCTCTCGTTTCAAAATGTATTTCTATTTTTAATCTGCATGTCGTTTTCATCTTCATTATATTTCCAAATAGTTATTGATTTCCTTGTAAGAGTTGCTATCTCAATTTTGTATTATTATTATTGTTATTTGAATTGTTTTCTTCATTAAGCGGATAACAATTGATACTTAAAAATTGCTTATATAAATCCGTTTTCGACTCTTCAGAATCGACCTCGCTGCGCAAAATACACGCAACACAATAAACAACATACGCTTGTCATCCAATTATATGTTCACACTTTGGGGACGACACCGATGCATATTACCAAGAAGTTGTGAGAGCTATCGCTCTCTAGTCATATCAGTAGAAAAACAAGATGTCAAGCTGCTCAATCACAGCAAACTATTCAGTTCACCTAGCATATGCTACACCGATGAATAAAAAACCAAAAGCAAGAAAAACACATTTAATCATTTTAGTTGTCAGCTTTTTATTCGTTTAAACACGATTTTCATCTGGTTTTGTAAGCTAACCAGCACAAGCTTCAGCCTTACACATGTGTAGTTATATCAAGTAGAAAATAGTTTACCATCTCAATGACGACATTCATTTTTCTTGTCAAATTTCTCAGTCAAGTGATTAATATAGAGTTATAAAAACGCACAAAGCACCACAGAAATACCAGTTTAAATATCAACAACACTCTTAGACTTGCACCATATTCCTATTTCCTTACTAGTAATTCAATTTATATGTACGACGTAGACTTATGACTTTAAAATGTAATACACATTATACATTTCTCACTGGCTAATTGTCTACAACAAAAGATTTCAAAAGATATCATTATTGAGATCCCGAGATAATTATTGTATTTCTCATGAAGTTAGTCATTATAGACTTTAAATATTTCATAAATAACATCAAGCAAATGTATCCTAGCACCTTATCAATTCGTCAGTCTAACACCTAATGTATTCTTTTATATATAACAAAGATCAGCGATCCTATATCGAACACATTTGAAGTGTAAATGTTCAAATGCTAAATACTATAAATCCTTTAGATATTTATTTAAAGCTTTTACTATTACAAAAGAACACCTTATATTAAATACCACCACATATCCAAACCACCGTTTTAAGTGCGTAACAAGTTTGTACGAGAATTGGACAAAAACATAACACACCCTGTTGGTGTACATAGCAAGTTTGAAGGAGAATTCCCGGAAAAAACACACCGCGTCTGTGTATAAGGTTAATGAGACGCTTGCATACTTTTAGTCCAGTTATAAAAATAGAAACAGTCGTGGTTACTGCATAGAACGATTACAAAACAGTTCAAATATTGTTGTAGCTAGGCAACAGGGATTGCTTACAAAGTAATCTGACCAGCCTTTTCCTAATTAGCCACATACTATTGTGAAATATTCTAATCTGAGACAAGACTGTGCAGTATGATCATGCTGTGATCTTAATGTATATTTAAACCATTTGTCCTAAAAAACACAAACTAATAATAAGTACGTTTGTCCCTTTGGAGGTACATCGAGTTCAGGCAGCTGTTTCCTTGTGTATAACGATTTGACATATTGTTTCTAATTTACTGTAATCTATAATCTAACGATTTGATTGAATCTCCGTTTAACCCTTTCATACCTATGTAACTTAAGTAAATCTTACCATGCATTGCTTTGTATGAGTTCATTATGGTTTACAGTGGTGAAAGGGTTAATAACACGATTAAGATATCTGTGAAAGTCATGTAAAATCATGTTTCGCAAATGTCCGATTTTGTTCATTTAAAAATGCACACTATTCTTGATAATCAATAAAACAATAACAAAAATTGTCTTTTATGTCCAACGTAGTTTAAAGTAGTATATGATATGCATTCAATGAGGAAATTATCAGAAATTTAACAGAATACTTAAATATAAATATATATAACAACAGTAACAAAAGTATATCACACCATTTCTGTGTTCATAATAAGCCGATGGGATAATTCAGATAATAACAAAACACGTCTATGTATAAAGTTACTTAGACGCGTGTATACTTTAGATCCAGTTATAAAAATGGAAACAATCATGCTAATTGTATAGAACGTCTACAAAATAGTTCAAATATTGTTGTAGCTAGGCAACAGGGATTGCTTACAAAGTAATCTGACCAGCAGTTGCTTAATTGGTCACATTGCTATTGCGAAATACTTGCAGTCTGCTACAAGTCTCTGTTTAGAATAATTGAACTGTGGTCTAAATGTATGTTCAAATCATTTATCCTCACAGCGACATCATTATAATAAGTACGTGTGTCCCGTTGGAGGTGCATTGAGTTCCGATTGTGACTAATTAGGTCAAATTAACCTCTATGGAGTCAATTGAATCTCCGTTTTAATTACACGACCAGGCACATACTGTGCAAAACATATAAAATTATGTTTTGCATATTTTGCATATTTTGTTTATAAAACATGCATACTTCTTTCGAAAAAAAATAACTTCTTTTGATTAAAAAAATTGTAACAACATGAGCAAAGACAAAACACACAACCACAAGGAAATGCACATACTGTATTTAAAGATAAATAACTTTCGACTCTCCCTTGCAGACACACAGATTTCGAAAGTTTAAAGACTTAATGTACCGATTTTTAACTAACAAACACTCTTAAAAATCACGATGACATTAGGTGTTTTCGACTCGTTAACAGCACGCATAATATATATCAATAGCTATAACATTGCCAGAGGAAACATGATAAGCTAGATATTTCATTCGCCATATTATAGCTCAAACAAGCACATTATACCATATAGGTGTTGACATAAAACATGTAATATATATACATATATAAACGCTAGCTGATTATAGTCTTCGTGTTTTGTTTTATTAATATATATATATATATATATATATATATATATTCTTAATGGCACACTGGAACAAAATATACCACAGTGTAAAAACACAAGGACAAATATAAAACAGTGTCAACACACAAGGTCAAAATATACCGCAGTGTCAACACGCAAGATTAAAATAAAGATATCACAGTGTCAACACATAAGGACAACATATAGCACAGTGTCAGCTCACTGGGACAAACATAACACAGTGTCAACACACACGGGCACAAACAACCATTATAGTGTTACAGCACTAAGACAAAATGTACCACAGCGTCAAATCACAACGACAAAATACATCTCAACTTTATCTAAGTAGGACAATCTTTACCACAGCGTCAACACACAAGGACAACATATACCAGAGTGTCGACAAACAAGGACAACATATACCACAGTGTCAACACACAAGGTTAAGATATACCACAGTGTCAATACACAAGGTTAAAATAGACCATAGTGTCAACACACAAGGTTAAAATATACCACAGTGTCAACACACAAGGTCAAAATGTACCACAGCGTCAAATCACAACGACAAAATACATCTCAGTTTCATCACAGTAGGACAATCTTTACCACAGCGTCAACACACAAGGACAACATATACAAGAGTGTCGACACACAAGGACAACATATACCACAGTGTCGACACACAAGGAAAACATATACCAGAGTGTCGACACACAAGGTCAACATATACCACAGTGTCAACAAACAAGGTTAAAATATACCACAGTGTCAACACACAAGGTTAAAATATACCATAGTGTCAACACACAAGGTTACAATATATCACAGTGTCAACACACAAGGACAACATATACCAGAGTGTCGACACACAAGGACAACATATAACAGAGTGTCAACACACAAAGAAAAGTATCCATAATTTCAACGCAAAGAGAAAAAATCGTGAGTCGAATTCGACATTGAAATAAAAAGTTAACAGGAATCCTCAAAACAATACAATAGAAATCATGAAACCCTTAAAAACAACGTAAGTGAGAAACAGTTGATTCGGAAGAGTAAACACGTCCTGTGCCACATGTTGCACCTGTCACGATATGTCTCGTTTGTAATGATCAACGATCCAAAATACAAAGAACAAAACCTTTAAGTTTGATTATTGTTAACCATGTCTTGATGAATTATATAACTACGTCATCAAAAAATGGAGTCTGTCCGAAGTCTACAGGAAGCGTCTTACCAGAAATCCTGGTACTGATAATGGGCTCTTGAGAACGGAATCAACTGTGCCATGTAAGCAGTATAAGTATAGGGAATCGATATAAGTTACTGAGTATTTAAATAAGTTAAAATAAGAAATCACAGGGCAATGACATTTCCAATCTAACCCTTTCACCACTGTGGGCCATAATGGACTCTTCCAGATCAATGCACGGTACAGTTTACTTTCGTTACATAGGGGTGAAAGGTTTAACAGATATATGCATAACCACGATATGCAGAACTAAACGATAGTATTAGTATACAGACCCATTCATCATTTTTACGTTTATCTTTCGGATTTATTGCGTAATACTTGTAAAGGTAACAAAACTGTATATGGGGGTTTTATGGAAAATGAAGATTGATAATTATCGATGGATTAAAATAACTTAATATCAATTCGGTATTTGCTATCTTGTTTGAAGTTTTTAACGCCACACTTTTTTCACATATAAAAGTTACTAAAGCTGACGTTTTCTACACAACATAACAATACCGATGTGTGGACGAGCCAAGAGTACATCAAAAGAAAATGATATTTGATAAAATATAATTTTATCAAAATGTTGTATCTAAATATAATCTAAACTTCCTCTAAACTCTCCGGATGTTTGTGTCGGCAACGCTTATATTTTTTATAGATATACCACGCGTCCACAAAACGCATATATGACGTTACGCGCGATGCATCCACAGACGTTAGGTATGACGTCATAGGGCATGACGTCAAGCGCCAGAAATCTACATAGTATGTGTAGGGCATGAGATACCATACAAGACAGATAATGCACTTATTGAAACGCTGACAGTCACATAGAACAAGGGCCGGCTCCGCCTTCTTTTCCAAAACGTAATAGCCAATCACACGCACTTGAACTATTTCAATCAATGAAAGCAATACTAAACATTTCGGAAGATAGTGCCAGTACCATAAGTTTGCAAAGAAGAAACATTTAGACAAATGGACGCAAACTACATGATAATATTTAAGAGATAACAAGTTTTTGTTTACTACCAAAAAGCCCGCTGAGTATGCTATAATAAGAAGTGGAATGACGACTAGAAAAATATCCCGTACGGTAACAATGCCCCACAAACCAAAATTGAGCATTACATAAACAAGGACACAGAAGAGAAATAATTCTTCAATGAAATGCAACTCTGATTGTATTCGCCCTTTTTTGGAACTTCGATGAGCTCCTAGAGTACTATCAGAACATGTCTTGCATTTGACTAGTTTCCTATCGCATAACCACTCCTGTACTCGTTGGCTAACGTGCAACTGAAAGTATTCAACTGTTGAGATTATTAAAAGCTGAAGTTCTAGAGGCATTTGTAACGTGAAAACATCTTTCAAATAAAAAACATATTTTGAAATAACACAACAATAAAGTATGAAATCGATTAATGGTTTTTCCGAAAAGAAATGTATATGAGTAAAAATTATTATCACAGCAAACATAATGGATGGAATATTTGCAATCAATGTATATAATGTATATGGAGCAATTACGTATAATAAAACTAGACATATAAAAAAAAATTTGACTTTGAATATATGTACATGAACACCGGGCAGCATTTCTTGGATTGTGTTTTTGTAAACGACCACTTTAGAATGAATTGTTTCACTTTGTTCTTGGGCGCCTTTCTCAGGCGTATTGTCCCGTACTTCCCTTAAACACCTCCTCTTTCGTATTTCTTCGTAAAAGGTAAGTTGAATTAGCTCCATCAATGTAAGACCCATGAGTGTATAGTGCCAATTATACCACGTCGTGGTAAACACAAAAGTAAAACACACCGCCTTCAACGCCATCCAACAATAGGCCAGGATTCCAAACGATGATCCAGGAAAAGATTCCTTGTGCGAGTAAAACACCATGAATACGAAAAGGGCAAGATAAAGCTTCGACATGAAATTCTCGTAGAAATCAGGGAAATTTATCACATAAATTGTAAGATACCATAAGCCAATGATTTCTATAATAGTTTTCCATTTGTTCTTAGAATGTCCATTTTCCTTAGTTTCCATGACAACAACATTTGTATCTGGTGGCATTCTTCTGAATCGTCGTTTTTCATCAACTGGAATTGTAAAAGAAGACAAATGATGAATTCACATTTATGAACGAAAACTAAATTGCCATCAGGATAGTCACACAGTCACACAAATAAACTCTTTATTATACAGAGAAATGACCAACGATAATTCACACAAATAAATATATAATACATGACACAGAAAAATGGACACTGACAATAAATAAATTCCTATTATAAGTAATGATCAAAACGCCAAGAAACACTTATCTTAATGTTACCGTGATATCTAACACATTTAGTAGCCAGGTTATTTGTTGGTAAGTAACATCTCAACAACAACAATTTGATAACAACCTTAGTCATCGGCGTGTTAGCATCATAAACAATGTCATACTTTACACCTATAGCTTAGACAAAACCTATTGAATATCTACCTAATTAACTATTTTCATACATATTATTCTAAAACAATATTCCGTAACGCGATGCCATATGTGCAAAAATTTACCATAGTACACATTTCTGAACTTAAATCTTTAATGAAAATATTTGTTCATCACCACGGACCATGATACCCTTACTGCGTTGGTGACAATGTGCAGGTTTGGAAAGGGGGAAAAATGTCTCTCATCTTACGTTGATTTTCGTGTCTTTAAACCTTTTTTATTATCTTTATTTAGTGCCATACCCTGCGTTAATTTAGTCATATTCTTGCGATATTTATACGAAAAGGGTTGAAAAACTTGTTTTTTGTGCATGTAACTAGATACTATGGAAAAAAAGAGATCAGAATATACAGTGTCAACTTTTATCATATTTGATGTCGTTAATGCAATTCTTAGGATCTTTGGGGGACATATACACATAAGACAGACTATTATTCTATACATAAAGATTAAACGGATTGTATTAAATAGACATGACGGTATAAATGCAATTCCTTTACAAACATTTTCTATGTTGTTTAATTTTACCTCAAATTACCTGGTGGCATCATATTGAATGATATAAAATTGACATAAACCAAACGTAAGACAGAGTTATATATTGATTATGTTGTTGTCATTTTAAAGGTAGTTATCAAAATTTTACCAGTCACTTAATAATAATAATAATAATAATAATAATATATAACATGTATATAGCGCCCTATATAATTTGTAAAATTACTCTAAAGCGCTTTGCAACATATGGATAATAGTAATGGTTATAATTGTGAAAACAAAAAACAAAGGCTTCCAATCACTTTTATACATTAAAGCAAGCAATGTGCACATAATTAACAAATAAAAGGGTGGTATTTACATGATGTCATTGCAAGGATTTGATCTATTATGACTTTGGCAGTCCCCGCCAGGTAAATTATATGATACCTTTCATCGATGTCCACACTTTTTTCTGTCAGATTATGGGACTTTTATCTTTACATCTTGCTGTGGTATTGGATACCAATATTGTTTTTTGCTTTGATAGAGATTATAATCTTTTTCATTTAAAGGCGCATAGATGGAAAAGACTCAATTGGATTGAATTTACCTATTATAATTCAATTACAGGTATTACCTACCTACATATATGTAAGCCTTTTAAACATCAATCGTTACATCATTCTGATATTGGCACTACAAAATCTACTTTATGACTGCTATAGGGTTGAGGGAAGACACGTAGCCTGGTGGCTCACATTGCATAGTGACGAGAACAATCGACACATTCCTGAAATAATGAATTATTTTAACTGCTGATACACAAAAGATTCCTGTAATGTCTTATATACCCAACCGTTTCCTATCACTCGCCCTATACAAAGAATGTCATAAATCTAAAAATCTGCCCATTTATCTGTCAATCGACCTAAAAACTGCATTCTTTTATAACGAATCTATGTACTTATCATTTGCGACAGGTTAAGTTTTTTTTCGATTGGAAACAGATCGGGTTTTTCCGTAATACTGTTGAAGTCAGTTAGGACTAATCATGTCGTGAATCTCAATTCAAATTATAAGATTCCTGAATAGATTTCGTTTGACCTGTGTAGCTGGTACCCACGTAAGAAAGAATTGAAACGTCTGTTACATCTTTGTTTGATTAAGGAGTAATCTATCTATGCAACAAATAAAAGAGGCCACTGGATAATCTAGGTACTATAGCGAGGCGTACCGAAATCCCCTAGTCGATTCATTAGTGTAAACTGAGATATTGTTTTGTAAAAGACATTTGCAGATTATCCATAATAGATGAAGTCTTATTTTTAATATTTATGTTTTTATGAATTAGAACTTAAAATTATGACTTCCGTAATAAATATCATAACTTGCACTTTTGTGCGTACTGTGCCTATGCTACTGAAATCATAGCGAATCGGAGATACATGATACAATATCAAGCCGTTAAGCTGACAACACTAGGATCAACTGGGTCATCTTAATCTCTTTTTGAACAAACACCTCCACCCCCTCTAAAATGTCAAGGTGCGCTGACACTAAGAATAGCAATATATTTGACACGAGAACATTAAGACGAGGAATTAGTCGTTACCAGAAGGTGAATGTATCTGTAATGAATGCGATAGGCCATCGGGGTATAACAGTTTACATGATGAAGTTAGAACAGCTTGAAAACTGACAGGGGGGCTCTTTCATGGACATTTACGGCAATCCAAAGTCTAGCCGTCGAAACGTTACAGATCCGAGCAGCATTTGTTGTTTTATATGACACTACACGCGGCATACTATTAATAGATGTTGTTCGGCTACATGACATGAATTGATTTATTAATTTGTTACCTATGACTATTACCTGGTAATAGATACAGTGTGGCAAAAATGAATTACCCTGCAGAAACACATCTGTTTCATCATTCTAGTACTGAACGATGGACATCCTAACAATTCCAAATTACTGTTAAAACATAAGGGTAGGTGGTGCAAGTATATTTAAGGTAGACATTTATGCATTTTCCCAATCGACATCAATGTACAACATGTATACGGGTATAATAGCATTGTTCTTTTTCCCACACTCATTCTACAACTGTGTACTGATAATAAGTCCAGAAACCTACGAACAGATTGACTCAGCTAATGTATTACTGTCATTGTACGTACCCAACCTATTTCCTGTTTAATATTTAACAGTTTTCACGCGATAGATGCAATTTAGAACATCACAAAGCTTGCCAGCTCTTCACATTTCTCGTAAATGTACACACATTTATACCATTTTATCCCGACACATGTTACATCGATCCTATTACAGTGACGTCAAGCACGACTCTATTCAAAATATATTTCCATTCAAAACGTAAACGCCTATTCGTTTGAGTAAACAAGTCTCGTACCTGCCGTCTTTGTATAGTGAAAATATTTCAGGCGGTTTTGGATTATAAAAATCGATTTCTTATGAACTAATATCTTACATTAATGAAGTTATAATTAAACGGTATGGATTGCTAGTAGGATCAATGTGTCTACTTATAACTATCTGGCAAGACCTAATTATCTTTCAGTGAAATGTACAAGAAGACATACACTCACCTTGCAATGGTAGATGTCCATGTAGATAGAAAACCGTCCTGTGTGCTGTTTAATCTCGATTCCAAAGTCCTTGGCTTTAAAAGCAGCCGCAAATGGTCACATGTTGGAGCTTGTTTGAAGATATTTGTAATAGCAGTTCTTTAAATAGTCCATCGGTAGTCTGTCGACATGAAAATACAAAAGAGTAAACAGACGACCCACTACTGGTGATCGATGCGTCTATGCTTGTGTGTGTAAATTACATTCAGTGGTTTGCCTTCACTCGCAGGAGTCCGTGCTTTGTCGTCGTTTATATATATCCGTTGAAATATTGATAATCTCAAAACAGATGACGACAAAGTGCAACAGAATTTTGTTTTTATAAGCTTAGAAGTGTTATCGAATGTCATAGTTGATCATTAGGTCGCCGTTTGTTTTGTACCAGTTGCGTAAACGTATATGTTATCTAATATCGAGACTGTTTGTCCCAGTGATTTCATCAAATCGAGGTTAGATTGTTCAACTGTGTTTACCGCATTTCTCGCCCGTTTCCTTCGCCATTACATATCCATATGTCACGAAATAGGTTTTTGTTCACGAAATAAAGTCTGAAGAGTTACCACTCAGTAAACAACCCGATCTGTATCTGACGTATCAAACTACCGTTTCCAGGTAAAACTATGACGGACGTTTTCCTTCATATGGTGTGTATGTTGTTTGGGTCGGGTACCTGTCACCTGTACGTACCCGGTTTTTGATAACAATGCTCATCCACGCCATACCAACGATTTCACATTATTATCCTATTGTTAATAGTATTTCGGTGTCCCTTTACTTCACCAGGACCTCCGCATAGACGACTTAAATACCGATAGAAAGGCGTAACAACGGTTAAGGCCTTTCAAACGAGGAAGCAGAATGATACTGCAGAGATTTAAGTTACAAGGAACGCGACAGAAACCAGCAGATACACTTAAACATCACATATTACCAGACTGAGTCACAAGATCAAGGAAATGTTCAAAGTGAATCTAAGCCGTCTGACCTTGGTGGCTAGGCTTAAGCAGCGAGCGATGTTTAAACCTTACCACAAACGAGAATTTAGTTATTTTGCACACTTTCATAGATACAACATAATAAATGTGTATAATTCTGGTTTTTTATTAGTATTATTATATAGTTGAGATGTGTTATATCATTTATTTGACAGACATCACAAACCCCGCACTTTAAATGGTTTTATATAGACAAACACTTTAAACTGTAGTTGTGTTGTATGACCCGTTGCCATGGTGCATATACAACTGAACTCTTCTACTAACATGAACAAACATGGAAAATGATTCGACGATAGCATCGCCGATTGAAAACGTATTCGAAAAACAGATCAGTGGCTCTCTATTTATCCAGTTTGCAAAACAAATATCAACAAAACACAGCGAATTTGCAAGTACTTGAAAAGCAGACGATAAACCTCTGGATTTTGTTATTTGTATAAAGTCAATATATTACACTGCATACAATTTCCCTATGCGATTATTTAAATGTTTCGTTAAGGAGGGTAAAACAGAATATAATGTTTCAGTCAGGTAGAGTGTTAAATCTAAGATCAACCAGTTTGGCTTGTAATTGGATACAAGGTCCAAGATATTATTTCCTTTATATAAACTACATGTTCATTGACGTCATTTCGACAATAACTACCAACCAGGTCCCTACATTATTTTTACACAAAAGAAAACTAAGAACGCAAGAGGTAAATTTACATTGCACAAACTATCAGTGTACCGCTTTATTCTCAGAGGCATTAATAGAAAAATATAAATACTGTCTATCAAGTGTTCCTTAAATATAACCTTTTATTTGTTAAAATATGAACGTAACACACATAAATATGTAATTGCACTTGAAATTGAATATAAGAAAAATATCAGAAGAGGAATTATAATTATACATGAAGAAAATTGAATCCAGCGATCAGAATGATACCTCACTATATAAAAGAGACACTATACTACAGGCCTCGCGGAATCATGATTAAGATGATATGTCGCCGATCTAGAATCTAGAATTTATAATTACCGCCATATCGTATTACCCGTTTACTGTACATCAAAACGGCAATCTGACATTTAAAGGACTTTGCAGAGAGGATAGTAGGTAGTGAAGACACGTCCGTGATTAAAATATTGGGGAAACACACACCAAAAATGTTATCAAAGCATGTTAAGCTTGTGCTCTTTAGAAAAGTCAAACTAGTAGCAATGGAAATTTATTGACCATTTTCTTTAAAGTTAGTAAAGTTAACATACACATAAAATCAGTCCTACAACCAGGTGAAAATGTATACAATATGAATTTGTTTTGTCTAAAATGTTCTTGAAAAACCCCAGACAAACTCTACACAACTGAAAAGTCTATATATAAATGGAACAGGTACATGCTAATTTTAAGTCATAAAGTCGGTCGACACATTCCCGACAATAACGTCTTTATATCTTCATGAATTTCGGTCGAAATGGGAAAACATCATGAATGTGCTATTTTTGTACAAGTCTGCGTCGTCATTTGGACATCAAAGTGGTTTTTTTTTCATTTCTCATTGTATAGTTTTATTATATAATCTCCTAAAAAATCAGACGTTTATATGCGTATGAATAGACAAATACACAAAGCAGGGAGCCATCGCCAATGGCTTATCTGGCCAGCGATAAAATACAGGTTTAGACTTACGAAGACATTATTCACTCTGCATATCAGCATAATTATTACAACACATTTTACAAAATTGAGTGAGTGATAAACAGCAAAACAGACATATTATGGAGGATGGACAATATAATTGGTATGTAATTGATATGTCTGTCAATGTAAAACTATACATGTGTATTGTGTGAATCTGAATATATGTCTGTCAATGTAACTGATCTCAGTTGTGAAGCAGAAATGAAAAATTTGCGAAAACAGTGACATTGAAACCGACGATTAACACATATATATTATATATAATTTTAAAAAATCATGTGAAGTAGGTAAGTAAAGAAAAGAAAAAAAGATATGACGAGCGACTTAAAAAACAAGCTGTTTTCAACCTTCGCAGGGCTCTTAAGGTTTAAGCATGAATAACCTCGTGAAGGATGAAAACATGATTTATTCGGTCGTTAGATCCTATTTTTTTTCTATACTATATATAAGCTAAAGTTAAGGACACTGACAATTAACTCATATATATTTTGAATATAACAAAGAGCTAAAGACATTGACAATAGATATATATGTACTACATATATATCGAGTTTGGATAACTGACAATTAACACATATATCCTATATATAATATAAAATTAAGAAAACTGACTATCAATAAATATGTACAATATACAGTTAAGAACACTGACATTTAACTCGTAATACATCTAACAGAGAAAGAGATACCAGGCTCCGGTTGCTCAAAGTTTGGTTGACGTAAACCAATTGTAAGTGAAAAATTGTAATTGTTGTAAATAAAAAGTAACGGTTTTCATGCCAAACTATATTCTAAAAAATACACCAGCTTTATTTGTCTTAACAAAAGTTATGGCTGTAAAATGGTATAAGAGCAACTTGGCCCAGAACTCTTACACAATACAAATGCGTCGATAATTACATTGTATCATACATAAATCTTGCTCTGCATCAGATACTTATAAAAATACGTGAATATTTACACAAACTGAGTTTAGATTAAAATTCCTCCAAACCGATATAGTCCTGGAAAGAATGTTATCTTTTAAATGATTTGTCGTATTAGGAAAATGCCCCCGAGTTGTGTATGAACAGTGGACAAGAATAAATAGCACGCTTCGTATACATATCCCACTTCATTCAAAACTCTTTTGTTAATTCACAATTATAATCGCTAGGATATCATCCTTGCCGTCGTAAGAGGAACACCCAGTGCCATTGAACACGGATTTAGTATTCTGTGGATGTTGGAAACGTGACACTTACCTATATGATTCCATACCAATAAGTTCATGTCTGGTTCGGCAATGCGTATTAAATATTAATCTTGTTTTCAAAATGTTCTTTTACTGCACAGTGATTTGAACAAAAAACATCATGTCGAGGACGAGATTATGAAGGCAAGTTCCCATAGTTGTAGGAAAAACGACTGATAACGATATCTGAAGATATGTCTGTCAATGTGAACTATACAGATGTATTGTGTGAATCTGAATATATGTCAGTCAATGTAAAATTATACAGGTGTATTGTGTGAATCTGAATATATGTCAGTCAATGTAAAACTATACATGTGTAGTGTGTGAATCTGAATACATGTCTGTCAATGTAAAACTATACAGATGTATTGTGTGAATCTGAATATATGTCTGTCAATGTGAACTATACAGGTGCATTGTGTGAATCTGAATATATGTCAGTCAATGTAAAACTATACATGTTTAGTGTGTGAATCTGAATACATGTCTGTCAATGTGAAACTATACAGATGTATTGTGTGAATCTGAATATATGTCGGTCAATGTGAACTATACAGGTGTATCGTGTGAATCTGAATATATGTCTGTCAATATGAACTATACAGATGTATTGTGTGAATCTGAAGATATGTCTGTCAATGTAAAACTATACAGGTGTATTGTGTGAACCTGAATATATGTCTGTCAATGTAAAACTATACAGCTGTATTGTGTGAATCTGAATATATGTCTGTCAAAGTAAAACTATACAGGTGTATTGTGTGAATCTGAATATATGTCTGTCAAAGTAAAACTATACAGGTGTATTGTGTGAATCTGAAGATATTTCTGTCAATGTAAAACTATACAGGTGTATTGTGTGAACCTGAATATATGTCTGTCAATGTGAACTATACATATGTATTGTGTGAATCTGAATATATGTCTGTCAATGTTAAACTATACAGGTGTATTGTGTGAATCTAAAGATATGTCTGTCAATGTTAAACTATACAGGTGTATTGTGTGAATCTAAAGATATGTCTGTCAATGTAAAACTATACAGGTGTATTGTGTGAATCTGAAGATATTTCTGTCAATGTAAAACTATACAGGTGTATTGTGTGAACCTGAATATATGTCTGTCAATGTGAACTATACATATGTATTGTGTGAATCTGAATATATGTCTGTCAAAGTAAAACTATACAGGTGTATTGTGTGAATCTGAAGATATTTCTGTCAATGTAAAACTATACAGGTGTATTGTGTGAACCTGAATATATGTCTGTCAATGTGAACTATACATATGTATTGTGTGAATCTGAATATATGTCAGTCAATGTAAAACTATACAGGTGTATTGTGTGAATCTAAAGATATGTCTGTCAATGTTAAACTATACAGGTGTATTCTGTGAATCTAAATATATGTCTGTCAATGTTAAACTATACAGGTGTATTGTGTGAATCTGAATATATGTCTGTCAAAGTAAAACTATACAGGTGTATTGTGTGAATCTGAATATATGTCTGTCAAAGTAAAACTATACAGGTGTATTGTGTGAATCTGAAGATATTTCTGTCAATGTAAAACTATACAGGTGTATTGTGTGTATCTGAATATATGTCTGTCAATGTGAACTATACAGGTGCATTGTGTGAATCTGAATATATGTCAGTCAATGTGAACTATACAGATGTATTGTGTGAATCTGAAGATATGTCTGTCAATGTAAAACTATACAGGAGTATTGTGTGAATCTGAATATATGTCAGTCAATATAAAACTATACAGGAGTATTGTGTGAATCTGTAGATATGTCAGTCAATGTAAAACTATACAGGTGTATTGTGTGAACCTGAATATATGTCTGTCAATGTAAAACTATACAGGTGTCTTGTGTGAATCTGAATATATGTCAGTCAATGTAAAACTATACAGGTGTAT